GTTAAATAAAAGTAAAGTAAAGAAAAGTAAAGTAAAGTAAAGAAGAAGAAGAAGAGAGTAGAGACGTAGGTACGTACGTACGTACGTACGTACGTAGGTAGGAGAGAGAGAGAGAGAGAGAGAGAGAGGTCAATTCCATATGTGTGTGTAATCTTATCCACATAGGAGGTATTGATTGTGCAAAACTAGGGTTTGGGGTCTAGGATTTGCGGTCCTTATGGAGACTCAATCTTGATCGTAGATCAAGGGTGACCTGTGTGGTGAAGAGATCTTAGCCATACATTCCTTATATCAGGCATCATGATTAAAAGGAATGTGCTAGAACCTTATCCCTTAGTTTCTTTGACCTAATCCCATGAAAATTTAATTTATGGAAACGTGTCATTTGATTTCAAGTAGTGTCATATAATTTCAATTAAATCACAATCTTTCTAAAATTGAAATCAATCAAAACCATTGTCTCTCCTTCCTTCTTACTTCATAAGAGAGAGAAAATGAGAGAATAAAGAAAGTGGGGCATACCACCCATGTGGCTCCCCATGTGGGCCATACTCCCCCATCTAATGGGCTCTATGTGATGGGCCCCCATCAATTTTGTGGCCCCACATCCCCTAATAAATTTTAAAATTAATAAAATGATTTTTTGAATTCATTTAGTAATTTTAATTTCTCTTTAAATTTTATAAACTTGGAAAAATCATTTTTTGCTCTCTGAACAATCCTTTTTGGTAAATTAAAATATATAGGGTATTATCAAAATTCATATTAATATTCTAAAAATCATATAACATAAAATTAAGCATATAAATTATTTTGATGGGAATTGAATTCAATTATGTTAAGGATAATGCGAATATACGGAGGCACATCTCTACTGGCGATCATGTCCTACACTCACTTTCTCAAACTGATCTAACAGTTCCCATGACCCACAACTCGTTGCCGGTATTCATGATTGGACTATCAAAGTCAGCCCATAAGTGAAGAGAATGCACAACCCTAGTCCATGAATTACAGGTTTCCCTAGGGACAAGTCTAGGTCACACAGATCTTTGCACACTTCTCGCATTTGGTGCATGAGGGTTATCTCTGCATCACAGGTACATGTCATATCCCCAGTGGGATTCGCTTCCCAAGACGACTATCATATGTACATGTTGTACTATGATCATGATGAGGATTTGGCCCTCATCCCCTCGGCCCCTAAAATTGCACACAAGGGTCACGAAGTCCGTTGGCCATCCACCTTGGGCATCTCTCCGACCTCATGAAGGGTTAGCCCCCAAATAAAATTCAGCAAGGGTGTCTCAGAGGTGCTTCCAAAATTCAGATTTGAGAGTTCAACAACCATTGGTCAAGAGTTCAATAACCATTGGTCAGGTAACTGGGTGTGAGGTGTGCTAATCCCTAAAGGGATAACCCTAGGCAAAAGTAAGTCTTCCTTTATTTATTTTTTTATTTGTTGCTATTTTTGTCTTATTTTTTATTCCTAAATTCTCAGTATTGTTTTCAGTTGAATAAAGTTTATTTTGGCAGTAAGTTTATAAAGATCCTAGATAGTAGTAAGCTGAATTTATTGTATGTGTGGTACCTGTAAGTAGAATTTCCAGCCATTAATAATAGAATGGGAAGAAGTTTTTGAAATTATAGCCTAGAATTCTACATAGCCTCCTTTCATTCCCTACTCGAGCCCAAGGTTACATCTTGTCGTGTGTTTAAGTATCATGCATCACGCCATTGGGTCCCACTCTCATGGTGAGGGATTCATCTATACCTCCTCAAGGCACTTGATGACAAGTGGTGTTGACTGTGGAAAGCTGTCAACCTCATTAGCACCAGCAGTTTGAGGAAATTGTGCTAAAGATGACAATATATATTGGCTAGTCCCTATAGCATACTGCATGTACTAGTACTTGGTAATACATACGTCCATAAATTCAAGCAAGTATGCGTAGCTAGGATAACATGAATGGAATATGTTAATCATAATTAGCTTTGATTGGTTAACAGATTGTATATAATAGATGAAAAGAAAGGAAGGAAAAACAGCAGCAAATGCCTTTGAAGACTCAAAACTCCCTACACTTTTTTGTACTCATAAACACACTACATGGGTAATGCATGTATATTTTCATGGCATATGCTTGTATATTCCCAGGTACCTGAATATACGCTTGAAAACTTTTAATATGGTCTTGGTTGACTTTCAGTATCGTGGTGGAGACGTTTTGGAAATTACAAATTGGAGGCCTGCTTCCTTTGATGAAATTACGAGTGTTCATACAACAACTTATGTAAATGGTCTAGAGAAGGTACAGTTATGCCTTTATTGAGTAACTTATGTAGAAGCTGGAACTACTTGGAATGAGAAGTTGGTTGCATCTGTGGTTCTAGTTTCAGCATTGCACTTCTCAGAGAGACTAAACTTGGGGCAGGCTTTTCACTGCTCGTATTCCATGAAGCATTGGAAATAATCTCTAATATTGATAATTGACATTATTAGATATTCTATTTCATAGTCATCTATATTTTATTCTATTCTTTTATTTCAATTTGTGATTGCCCAAGGGCATCTTTTTTATAAGACGTCATATATTTAACTCTAGAGAATCTTTTAGCATTTGAGAATCTTGTTAACTACTACCAAAAAAAAAGAAGAAGAAATATTTACGAATACCTTGTAAACATTTCATGATGAAGGTTTTCCTCACTATCAAGCTCCTTCTGCCCCATCACTATCTGTGGAAGCTCCTTCTGCCCCATCTCTTCCAACCTCTTTTATCCTCTACATCTTTACGACTTGGATTACTCTACCAAGGTATTACACCCTAAATAGGAGAGGCAAGACAATTTTGTTTCAAAGCTTGAAGTCCTGCAGCCATACCATGCTTCCAACAGTTCTTGGTCTCACAGCCTCTTTATGATTACCGATTCAGAAATAGAAGATAAAGAAGTGGGTCTTCCCACTGTGCATTACGACTTTCAAAATTCAAACCAAATCAAATTTGTAGGAGGTGAAACTTTGATGCACTGTTTCTTTGTTGAATTTCAGATTTTGTTTTTTGACTAGGCATTGTGTGGTTAATGCCTACTGTCGCTTGGAAATTGTCTTTTTAACATGTTGGCTTTTTTCCCTGAACAACCTTAGATGTTCACTGCTTAGGTGTTGTATACATTTTCATAGATTTTCATAGTTTTGCATCATGCGTTCCTCATGTGCAAATGTTGGGTTTTCATACTCAAATTTGATGCGTTGTGTATTTTTGTTTTGTTCTAGCATCCTAAATGCATGCAACCCCTTTGTGGTTTCCTTTTCCAAGTGCTGGGAAAACTGAGTAATCCTGGCTCATAATGAGCCGAACTTGGGCAGTACTTTGAAGCTCGATGAGGTAAGCCAAGCTACGCTTGACAGCTCATTTACAACAAACCAGGTCCCAGCTGGGACAAGATCACCTTAGGCTTGTTTAATAACATAACATTTATGTGTGTTTGTTTGTATGCATGTGTATTTGTGTGTGTGTGTGTGTGTGTGTGTGTGCTCGGGGGTTGACCTCCTCGATATTTAAGGAGTGGCTCCTCTTGTTTCTAATGATTATTTTTTCTATTTATATGATTTTTATTAATGGTTTTAATGTGATACATGGGTTTATTATTTCCCTTCAAAACAGATGTTTTTGCAAGCTTCAAGGATTTGTTAACTCTTTCAAATTTATTGGGAAGATTATGCCCCTTGTGAACTTATAGAACTTCTTATCTGACAAAGTTTTGCATCAGCGGACATGTCTACTCCCTTACAAATTGTATATTGTTGTTGGTAGGACCCTTAGAAAATGCTTTTAAGCTTGATTCATACATTTTGAAAATATATGAGGGGAGGATGTTGTCAGTAATTGCAGTCCCACGCCTACTTTGTCAAATACCTGCTAAGTTTTCAATGATTTCTATATCCGAAACTTAGTTGTTCATAGAAGAAGCTCCATGGCCATACACAATGTGGGTTGATCAATATGCATCATCATCATCAAAGCCTTTTCCCAACTATTCGGGGTTGATCAATATGCGTGCTTAACTAATTATTGATTATGTATCAAAAGAGTCCACAATTTTGACGAAATGTGGTATTGGAAATGAAACTAAGGACATGGAATTAATTACAAACACCTATCCAAGCTTCATGTACCCTACATCTTCATTGCATTTCATTCGTACTTTGTATGATGATCTTGTTGATAATATCTAGTAGTTCTTCCTTTTTCGTCCTTTTCACGTACAACGTGTTTCATATGAATAATTTATGCAGGCTATGGAGAAGGCTTCCCAAGAAGGTATTGTGTTCATAGATGGATCTGGACCAACCTATGCGACTTCAACTGTAAGTTTCTTGACTATTGTGTGGTTAACTGACCTGCATGGAGATTTTCCCCATATTGAAATTTGCATTGACCTGGAATTCTTATGGATTCCATTCTTTTTCTCTTACAACAAAAATTTGGCTGAATCTCCCCTTAATTGGAGTCGATTTTAGTACCATCATCGTCAATGATTTTGGTATGTGTTCTGAAAATTCCAACTTCCAAATAATCCCTGTAAGGGTTGGGTTTAGTTTTGAATGTCTAGGGAGACAACTAAATTGGGATCTGGAGGCACGAGAGAAACTCACTTTTTTCGAAGTGGTAAACGTCCCTGACTTGGCCTAATTTTGAGATGCAATTCGATCCCCACAAACTCACTCCCAGGATACAACCAGCCTGACTGAAATGAGTCGCAAAGAGCTACAAGTTGCACTATCTTAAGATCTTTAAAATCACTGCTGTTATGAGATCTTGTTGTCAAATTGATAAAAGGTCAAACATTTACAGCAACTTATACATCAACTATACAACCCATTCATTTTCAGCAACTGATACAACCCATTTACAGAAACTGAAACAGCAATTGGTATTTACAGCAACTGATAACTGATTGAGAAAGAAAGAGAACTGAAAGCAAGAACTGAAACTAAAGAGGTGAAGAGAGAAGGAGAACTCAATACTCGAAGAGTCGATGCTTCTAATGAGGGATGAGCTTCCCTTATATAACTTCGAAAAGGCTTCGCACAGTATAAAGATAAAGATTCTTCTTTATCTTGAACAGTGTACATCCGAGCATCTTGAACAGTAAAAGTTTTGAATAATTGTACGAAAAAGGGGTTCGTACAACATCTTGCACAATGAAAGTAGAACACGTGTTGTGTCCGTACGGTCGGCAAAGTGTAAGTAGCACACGTGTTGTGTTCGTACTATCGGCAGCATGATTGTAGGACTCATGTGCTGGATAAAGTTGCAGTCGTATTGTTCTATCAATCTTATCAGATACTTTATCGGATACTGTACTTGTATAATAAGTATCTATATGGTCCCACCATCCTTCTTCAACTTTGCATCATGTTATCAAGATTGGCTTCTCCAACAATATCGAAACTGAAACTCCCAGGACTATTTGGATTTTGATCTTCTTCATTTTCTTGACCTTCAACAATATCTTCTGTTTCTAGGAGTAGATCTTAATGAAGGTCCATTTCATTGAAGTCACAACATTTCTCGAAATATTCTTGTTCCACAATAATTTGCTTTGGACTTCGGGTGTAACTTGATGGTAGATAAGTTGTGAACAATCATCTTCCATTAGTTACTTTGAAGGCACGATTATTTAAATTTAATTTAGCTTCAGTTCTGAAATTTGAAATATGTTTTTATATCCATATTAGAAATCTCATTATGATTCCAGTTTTGTCCTTCAGTTGATAGAAAATCATTATCTGAAGCTTTTTCAATGAAAATGTTTATATGAAACGTTCAGTAGGAATTGAAGCTCCATGTTTTGGAGACCCAAAAAATCATACTTTTAATGAAATTTGGAAAGATTTGTAATTGCATCCAGTCTAGATGCTCAAATACAATTTTTCCAGTTAATCCCCATTTGATTGCCTCTTGACTCTAAGGTTCATGATTTATATAAAATATCAATTTGGGGAGAGTTTGATAATTATAGTAAATATTATAGGAGTACTTGTTTAGTAACTCAGGGATCAGAAAAAACTGTTCTTTATCAGTTTCATTAGAGATTTTAGAAAATATTTCAGGAGGAAGTAATTGTTTGGCCTCTCGTAGAAACAAATTCATTTTATTTATTTGAATATTGAATCACTGGATTGATTATCTAGGTATCGGGATATTTCAAAAAAACTATTTATTTTTTCAAAAGCGAATTCCTCACTCCAATCCATTTGTTTACTGGATTCAAATATTTTTTATTTCATTTTTGAAAATGACACGGGCTGACTTGCTATCAGGTCTGATAACCTTCCCATGTGTTTTCGAAATTTTCTTTAATTATTTAAGAGATGGTTCTTCCATGCCTCATTTAGTTCTTCATAGATTGCCATAGGAATATGAAGATTATGATAAAAGTTTGGGACTGGTTTAGTCTTTGATGGAAGCATATAATTTTCACGTAGTCGTGAAAAGTTCTCATTTAATCTTATTATTTCTGAGTAAGATAGAGGTTTGGGATTTGGGTCTTGAGCAAATTGAGAAAAGTAAAGAGGGGTATCTTTTGAAATATTCTTTTGGCTTGGTACCTGATTGGTCCCCAAATTTATCTCTCTTTTTTTTTCTTTGTTTAGAAATTTCTTTCTTCCCCTTGTTTAGGAGTGGTTGTTTTCCTTTGTCCATCTGAAAATTATTCGGGATTCCTGCTAAAAAGGTTTGCAAGAATATTATCAGTACCTTTAATATATTCAACTTCAAAGCTGTAATTATGAGTAGCATTAGACCAATGAATCCTTCTAGGATTTGTTTCACCTTTTGCTATTTTTTAGAAAATTTCGTACTGCTTTATTATCTGTTTTGATAATAAATTTTTCTGGTGCTAAATATATATGGAATCTTTTTATTCCATTGAGAACAACTAGTAGTTCCTTTTCATATGTGATATAATTATTCTCAGTAGTATTAAATTTGCCAGAATTATATCCACATATGAGTTCTTTATTTACTACTGCTTTTAAAACTGTGCTCGAATTTTCATTTGAAGCATTAGTTTCAAGGATTAATTTATCTCCTTCTCTAAGAAAATTAACTGTTGGTACATTTTCAAGTTCAGCTTTAATTTGTTTTACTATAGCTGAGTCCTTTTCATCCCAAACGAATTCATCTTTCTTGAGTTTCTCTAATAAAAGTTTTTCTTTTTTAGAGAGATTTGGGATAAAGTTTCTTCCACAATTAAGAATTCCTAAAAAACTTTATAGATGTTTTTTATCTACAATATGTTCTTGTAATCTTATTCTGTTCTGGTCCAAGATTGTTCCTAGAAATTCAATTCATGTTTTTTCAACTTCAATCTTTTTAGGACTTAGTATAATTCCATTATCTAGGAATTTGTTACATATTATTTGTTGATGTTTTCTGTGGCCCTCTAAGGTTTTAGAAAATACCAAAACATTATCAATATAAACAACACAAAATTCTTTCAGTTCTGAAAAGATTTTGTCTATCCATCTTTGAAAGATATGAGGGGCATTGCATAAACCAAATGTCATGACCTTCTGTTGATAATGGCTGTAGGGTGCACTAAAAGCAGTTAAGGGTTTTGACTCTTTTGTCAACATTATTTGCCAAAACCCTTATTTGCAATCAAGTTTGCTAAAGCATTTAGCATTTTTTGTTTGATGGATTAATACTTCTTTTCTACATATCAAGTATCCGTCAAACTCTAGATTTTCATTCAATCTTTGGTAATTTATAACCATTTTGGCCTTACCTCTTTTTTCTTCATTATGGTTTCTTACCATAAATGCAGTGCTAGAATGTGGACTTGTAGTAGGCTCTATTAGTCCTTTTTCCAAAAGCTCCTTTATTTGGATAGAGATTTCGTCTATATCTTTTTTAGTATACATCGTTGGTTTTACTTTGATAATTTTGTTTAGATCTCAGAGTTTTGAACAACAATATCTAGGATTTATGGACCATAGCTTTAAAGGATTTTCACTAAAATTTGGTTTTAGGTGTTTGTACACCCAATGATTCTCATTGAGTTCTTTTATTTCATTTAACCATTCACCACGTTTTTGTGGCGTAAATCCTATTTAACATCTATACTTGTGTTCAACAAGTATTGGTATTGATGCCTTCTCACCTTTTAGGGTAAAAATGTGCTCGGTATCATGAATTTCTATTGGATAGTGATTTTAAAGAAAGTTATTTCCAAGAATAAAATCACCATGCATAAAAGGAAAACATAGAATTTTTGGAATAAATTTTTTTTATTTTCTAACCAAACTGATACATTTTTGGCTTTATACCTTATCTGATTATTATTCCCATTAATACCAGTTGCATGTAATGGAGTACGCATTTTTTCCCATTTTTCTAATGGTAATGTAGTTGGGCTACAAGCACATGTTGTTCCTTCTGTATCAATTAGAATATTATGATGACATGGTTTATATCCTGAAAAATTAAATTCTCCTAAAACGAACATATATCGCTTTCGATTTTGATTATGTGAAAAGATGATTTCTTCATCTACTCCTATTTTCATTCTGGATATAGTTATGGATTGTTGAGTCTCTTCTTGAGATTGTTGATTATTTTCCAGTTCATCATCTTTTGTTTGTAGAGAAGAACTAGATTTAGGAAATATAAGAATTTGAATATTTTTGTAACCCTATGGTTTTTGGTTTACCGTAGCTTTTGATTTTTGATCTAGTTGATCGAAACTCAATATTCTTTCTTCAATAAAATTTCTGGGTTTTTCAAAGCTTAATCTATTATTTGAGAAGAGTTGATCACTAAAATATATGTTGTGTCCAGAGGCTTGGAAAGTAATAGGCTGTATTTCCTTTTTGGAAGTTTTTTTTGTAAAGGTTTCAATTAACTAATTAGCAGGGATCTCGAGATCTCACCAGTTGATTAATCTTGGTTGGATTTTTGTATCAAAGTTACGAGGTTCAACGTTTTCTACAAATCTATTGTCTATATTCTTTGTTGAAGTCTTAGTCATACTGGTTAATTCATGAATTGCTTTCCATTCTATTGCAAGATTGAAACTATTTTCTTTCATCCCAATATTTTTTGTTTGGATTAAACTTTTGACAATATCTTGAATGTTTTTTTTTTGCACTGAGATGAAATAGTTAGGTTTTATTTTAATTCAAACTCTTCCAGTGACAAGATTAGATTGTACACCTCCTATTATTGCCTTAATAGAATCGCTAAATCTTTTGTTCAAAGCAACAACTAATATTGGGGTGTCTATCCCTTGTCGAAATAACATTGTTATTTCGATTAGGATTACTGCAATATGCGTATATCTGAGTTTCTGATATTGCTT